CGTCCATCATGCATTACGATGGTCAATACATGGGAATTTTAGCTGATTTAAAGACTTGCGTTTCATCTAGTTTTGCCAGAATCAGCCACATATAGTAGGCCTATATTTAATATTAGACATGTAGGGACTTTTTATCTTTTGGTTTCATCAATGTGTTTCCTATATCTTTAAAATAGAACACAAAGCCTAGTGATCATAATGGTTCCAATGGTTATTTTTACTACATATATTAGTTACTATATGTTATATTCACTGACTTTGATAATACTTCTGACCCCTGACCTGTCTTTTCATTTACATTTTTATACAGTTTATTGCTTATGCTATAGTCCTTTTGTCTTAAATGTATGCTTGAATAATTAACTTGCTTAGGACTATCCACCAAGTTTATGTTAACTTCACATTCACCTGAAGAAGTGCACTGTGTGCACGAAAGCTTGTGTACTGTCATAAATAAACTAGTCATAAAAGTACTGAATATCCTGAGTTTTATTTTCACATTTAATGCATCTTTGAATTTGACGCAGTATCTGCTTATTTGGTTTCTGTATTGCATTAACAGTACTTTATCGTTTAACAATGCACTTACTGATCAATTAGTTTCATCATCAAATTTATTTATATATTTACAATATTCTTTCACAAAGGTAAAACCAAATAAATTTATAAATCAAAACCTTTATTGAGCAAGCAGATTGAGACATAATAATAAAACAAATAATTCATAATAATTTGATATTGTTTTTGTATGATGAATACAATGGGTGTGAATAAAATGAAATTCTGTTTACAAGAATGACATATTTAATTAGTTTTACTTTTTCTTCTAATTTGTTTGTCCCAACAGTATTTACAGTATTTTCAGAATTTTACAAAGCACAAAATGATTAAATACCATACACACTCTAAAAATGCTGTGCCAACTTAATCAGCATAAACACTGTATCCTTAATAGTGAGATTTTGAATCACTGTTTTATTAGCTCTATTTATATAATATGTTATCAAAAGAGCATTTTAATAAACAATTTCACAAAATTAGTTGTAATGCATTAATAAGTTGATGATCTGTTCTCACTATTTAATGTTAAAAAAGGAATGTTTTTAATTAAGATTAATATTATTAACCAAAGTTAATATACCTTAATCATTATTATGCAAGACACACTTTTAACAACTAATAAAATTACAGTTAATTTTGCTTATCAATTCAGTTAGAATTTGTTTCCAATTCCATCATCATTATAATATGATTTCAAATATAACAATTATATAATAAATAGAATGATGAAATCATAAGGAATTGGAAAAGGCATACAAAAACAAGTAAAAACTTTTGTCATATACAGTAGCCCTATAATAATAATAATAATAATAATAATAATAATAATAATATATGATTATATTTGATTGTTTGCGTGTCAAATGCAGACTTCTTCATGCTGCGTGGGTGTTATTTCATGGATGTGTTTTTCTCCTATGATTATACATAATCTCTCAGAATTAATGTTCGTCTTCCAATACAAGTATTCAAAATGGCTACTATTCTGTAGCAAGTAGGATGTTATTGTTTTTGGATTAATAGAAATTATTGGTCTTACACAAATGCACTTATAAATTTTCATGCCATAAATGTACAACTAGTATTATTATTAACATCTATTTAAGCTGTTTATTTTGTTGGATTTTGCTCCAGAAAAGATAGTCATCAACAGTAAACAATATGTAGGTGATGATGACTTTTCATTATTGACATCAAACAGCAACCACCCACCCAATGTTGAACAGCACATTTCTCAATCTACCTGTAAACGTAAGCAGGTGTTCTGATCTATGGCAACCTAGCTGTACATGAGCAGTACTATATTTTATGTATGGCTAACCTCCCTATTTTAAGAACTCTGAATAACACTGTATATCACATTGTTCAGTACAGTAGCCATACTTTCAAATGTTTCTAGTAATTTTATGCTCACCATGAATACTAACCTGTGTGATTTCTGATATTCTACCACGAGACGTCCCTCAGTCTGTCACATGGTGGTGTCATGTTCAGCATGAATAATCATAAAGGAATTGGTTGTTGTATAGCGATATTATATTTATATACCGTAGTTTAAGTCAAAATGATTATTTACTGCTTGTTGTCTTTTCTTTTTGTAAAGCGCATTGAGGCTTTTTTGCGGAATGCGCTATAGAAGCATGGTATTATACATTACATTATTTAGAGCAATTAACAGCAATAATTAGAAATTAATAACAATATTATCTGTCCTCTTGATCTGCTGGATGTATTACCCTAGTAAATTCTAAAATAAAAAATATTAGTGGAAGCTCACCCATCCATTTTTCATTAAGAGTCTTGCATAGAATTTGCAGGAGTGTCTTGCTCAGTTCTTTAACATCTTCTCTGTTTACACATTCCACAGTGCCATCCCATAATACTATGCTTTCATTAATGAAAGAAGCTAGACAGAGCATGATTGGAAATATATGGTCTCTTTCAATGCTTTTAGCAATCGTGGTTCCACTTATCGATGTATCCAATATAATCTTTAACAGCTGCAGACTTAGAAGCAAGTTGATTCGAGGGCGCATGGTACCATGGAGATGACTACCATGGATATGACCGCCATTGAGATAATCACCATGGAAACAATCACCTTGGAGACTATGGTTGTTTTCACCATGGAAATCGTTATCATGGTGATATAAATTTGGATAAATGCAAACTTCCAGGAGTTCTTGTCTTGATAATACAGCTGGTTTCAAGAATGGATAGTTTGGTTGCCTTGGAGGCTTGAACGACTGTAAAAATACCAACAAAAACAAGCAATTTAAAAAACACACTTTGTTTATTAACATTCATATCAATTGATGATTTTGAATTAAAATAAAATCATATTTTTGGCCAATTAGCGCACCCGCCGCCACGAAAAAAAGAAATTTCAGAAAAGAATAAAAGTTTTTCTTTAATTTTATTATGCCAGCAGCTGCCTTGAAATCTCCAAAAATAAGATATGTATATTCCTATCTAATTTAAAGCATTTAACCCTCCCATTACTACACTGTTTACATTCAACAATAAAATTTTATTTTTATTTTCTCTTCCGTCTGGATGTTTTTGGCAAAAACCATTTGCTAAATAAGAAAATAAAATTTTATTTTGATTTTGTTTCCGCCT